TTTACTGGAAAACAGGATATACATGCCCATACAGATGGCTTAAAGGTAAGTTCAACAGTTTAAGCGGTAGAAATGTGCTTTTGCAAGGTAGTAGGCCACTATATTCGGTCAAACACGACTTTAAAGGCTACCCAAGGGATACAGAATTTTCCCCATATTTGAGAGCAAATAATAATGCTTAATTTTTGAATAATCGCGGGTGGGTGTTTACATGGAAAGGTATATTTGGACGCTATATAACTTAACAATGTATCACAGTTGCGTTGTATTGTGTTACCAATATCCATTGATAAAATAGTTCACTTTCCCAATATGATACACTCTACACGCATTGCAGGATGATCTTAAAACGATTTACAATACGCTTGAAAGTGAAAGTCATTAAGTATAGAGAATGTGGCAAAATTAATGTGCAAAGCACTTCACTTCAGGTGTATTATATCACATTGTTTTAACTTTCGGTATGACCAATACACACCGCAATGGCATCATTAAATAAATTGCCTTTGATACAATGGGTATAGCCTAAGATAGCACTTAATTTAATTTATAGGTATACTCAAGATTCATTTATAAATCCTAAGACGTTATCTTGTTTTTAAAGTGAGAGGTAGACTAGTAAATTATGAAGATGTCGAAATGAATTTGTTGAAAATGAAAGTCGTCGGTATTATGTGCAAGTATTTCGTGTGCTAATTCATTATAATAAAACTTTCGAGTGGGAAGATGTGTATGATGAATTGACAAATTTATATTACGATATAATCAGATTATTTTAATAAATGTTTTATTTTGACAATAGAGCATGGAGAAAAGAAATATACAGACCATCCAAAATCTTTTGGGGTAGATCTTGAGATATTTTCTTGTCTTTGAAGTTATAAATGGACGGTATAAATGTATTAGCAAAAAGATCTTGGCATTGTACGTAGCGTACACACGCTTCCCCGGTGCACGCTGTGTTTTCATTACGTCAAAAAAAATTCTAGCATTGCAAAGCCGGTCCCAAGATTTGTCCCCTCAATCACCGAGACAATGTTCATCAATATCTTGTTAATCTCACGGGTTTAGGAATACAGAGTTCTCCATTTTCGAAGTATAATTCATGTGTGAAAATTGTTTCATGAAACGTCTTTTCCTCGGTATGGGCGCCATTATCTGAAACGAACGTTTTATTCATGTTGCAAGTTATACTTTGGAGATTACAAATAATGAATCTACGCCTTCATAAAACTGCCATTTCAATCAGCGCGTCAGTTTTCTTTCTTCATTTTCAAAGAAATTTGGAAAGTTGTCTTTTCTGAGGAGCAAATCGTTCCTTTTAAATCCAGAAAACATTAAAAGTCATTAAAGATAAAGTTGAGTTCTGGTCATGCGATTGCATTGTGAAAGAAAAGGTGTGGAATGGACTAGGAAAAGTTGATCATGTAGCATGCAAGTATTGGTGTGTACTGCAAGGTTCTGGCGTCATCTAAATCATAATAAATTTGACCCAGTCTTGGTAAAGTAACAGGCACTGTACACAGAAAGATGGATATGGGACTACACAAATTGTGTCGGGGCTACTAACCTTGATTTCTTATCTTTCTATGCTCATTACTCACCCAGTATACATTTTTAACAAAAATTGTTCGGCGAATGACATTTATTTGTACTCTAGAAAATTCAGTGTAAGTTTCGTTTGATTCTGTGAGAATTCATTTAAAAAAATTTTTATACCAGAACTCAAATTTATCTTTAAATCGAACGTTTCAATAACATCATCAATATTTATGATTTCCTTGAATCGCTAACCTAAAAAAACGAAAGATCGCATTTAAACCACAAAAACACCTGCCACCAAATGCTTCGTTGGCTTTGACTTTATAAAGTAACAAATATCTTACGATTCCACGTCGATGTAAAATGCATTAAAATAAAGTTAATGAAATTACAATATTCTCCATTTCTCGTGACTATTGATTAAAAAGTAATAACTAACGGACTTTTAAAAGGAATGTAGCATAAAAACATCACAACACATTGCACTGTTTTTGCACACAGTCACACATTATGCATAAATGGGTTTTTCTATTGAGGTACATAGTCCCCCTCCTACAATCTCCATCTATATAAAATTATACTCATGCAAACTATCTCACAAAACGCCTCGACTTCTCATTTCTTATATCTATATTCCTCTCTCACGTTATTTTAAATTATAATGTACATACACATGTATTTTGAAGGAGGATATCGTTGTAGTTATTTCTCTTACACACACGCTGCACTTTTCCTTCAGTTCCCCTCCCTCATAAAGAATCAATTATTAATAAATCTATCAATTGCTTTTTCCACACTTCAGTTTACGTCTTCAAATTCTTTAATACATGTGAAGATGGAAACAAAAGATTAGAAAATGTAACTGATTTATAAATTGTATGTATCATCAATATTATTTTTTGGGGGGTGGAGGTCTGTGCTATTTTTTACCAAAATGTAAGTCTGATCATTTCATTTTTCTTTCAATTTGATTTTCTATTTCTCTCCTTCTCTCCTTGTCTCTCTCATTCTCTGGAATTACACTTAATTCTTTTAGTATTTTCCCTAGATATTTCGATTATTTCTTAATCTCACGTTATCGATCAAGCTCAACAATCACACATTCACATCCAATCAATAAATCGCTCATTCAATCAATCAGAAAAGCAATCAATTGGAGAGTCAATAACCAATCAAACGATCGGTTAAAGCAATCATAGTTACAATCAGCCGATTGGTCAGTCATGTCATCAATCGGTCAGTCAGCAATTTACTCACTGATTCAATCAATCATATTATAATTCAATCAATCATCCAGTCCATTAATCATGCAATCAATCTGTCAATCACCCAATCATTGTTATCATTAGTTTAATCAGTACATCAATCATCCCCAAACTACCCTTCATCACCGCAAACAGATCAAATTCCAACCTTGTAATCCACTATGATGATCCTAGGAAAACAATAACAGCTCATAAGACGTTTATTTGAATTTGAAATCATGGAATATCTTTTTTATTTTAATATCTCTTAACTGTACATGTATATACATCAATAAAACACCACATTAACTTTGACACGGCTGCTCATTTTTAACCTCTCTATACAGAAAAAGAGTTGTATATACATACACACATAAATATAACAATCCGACCAACAGAATAGTCGACACATAAAAGTGAGAACACGCATAATAATTATCTTTCCAGTACGCAGTAATTAATCAATCTTAATGGCTCACCAGGGCTAATTGTCTCCTGAAAGAAAGAGCGTGACGCATTAAAGGCGACATGTAATTCAGTTGAATTAATTTTAGGGTGATAAACGGGCTGTCGGAAGTATCGATGGTTTGTAAACAAACGGAACAAAAAGCCCGGCAATTTAGGATTTGGGGTAAATAAGGCTGCTCTATTATTAAGCAGGAGGACACAGTGCTTGAAGGTAATTAATAAAAGATGACATTTATGGCAGAAACAAAGCAGTTGGGAGCCCGTTTTCCTCTCGGCTCGTTTCGAGCAGAGATACTTGTGATTAATTGGCTTCCTAATGGTGGAGGTTTTAAAAGATTCATGACATGGAGGCGCGGTAAAGAGGAGATAAAAAAAACGAGTCGTCGCGTCCCGATGCCATCAGTATTCTGATACCGAGTCGGATTTATGTTCTTGACACGAGCTCGGGACCTTTCTTACAGATTGATGAGGTGAGGTCTCCTTCCAACCCGGCCATGATAATTCACCCAAACCATGTCCCATTCTGGTGTATCAATCATCCCGCCCCGTCATCAGCGCGCTAGCCAAGCGGAGCTCTCGCTTCGATAGAGAGAGAAAGGGAGATGGGGAGAGGAGATGAAGAAAGAGGGGAAGAGGGGATGGGGAACTGAAGTAAGCGACTAATGACAGGGGCATAAATGATCGCTACGGCTCGCCAACACGGCACCTTCCTCGCTCGGCCTGCAAACATGATATAGCTTCAGCTCTCTAGCGCCGCGCCAGGGAGGAAGATAAATTGCTAGGCTGGTCTGTTTGCGCGGCGACTGTAACTCATGAGCGCGCCGGAGAAAAAGGAGAGCGGCTGATTTGTGAATAAGGAGTTTCTTATGAAAGGATGCTGTTTAGCATCTCACCCTCTTACTCACAGTCATAAATAGACGTTACATCCCAACTGCTTGGGCCCCGTGTGAAATGCATGTCATAAATAATTCCTCACTGCCTGCTCTTCCTCCATTTTTAGCTAAATGAATGTCTGATAAACGGTTCTGACAAGTCGCATCCTTAGTGGAAAAAATACATTCCTTTTTTTTTATTTGACAAAACCTCTCTTGCGTGTTCCCTTGAATTTCATGCAAAGGTTGCAGTATCTATTGAATAACTGAAGCTACTGAACACAACTTAAACTCAACAATATTAAAATTCAACAAATCGTCCCTATTTTAACGAAGTGACGGTAGTGAGGAAAATCGTAACGCGAGGAAAATCGTAACGCAAAGTGAATGCAATTTTTTTTCACTACCGTCACTTCGTGAAAACAGCGACGAAATGAAATGGACAAAACTTAACAGTATATCCGTATTTTTGATCGATCGGAACTAGGGAGAAATTTGCTGATGAATATTTGCGAAAATGTCGCTTGGCGCGGATCACGTTACATCGCGAGGCAGCGTGGTATCCCCAGCAGCCGACGACTGCCTTCTCGAATCGAGAGAGGACGTTCTACTCATATTTCCCTCTTCATACCATTAATATTTTCCCTTAGAGATAGAGCCTTACAATTCATGTTCTCATCTTACAGGAAATAGTACTTTTCGAATAAAAACGTAATCTTAAATTCTTTTATAAAGTGGCCCTTTCAAGCACACAAGATGCATTTCAAGTACTTGGAATTTTGTAACAGGTTTTTAACTGAATACAGAAATCTCGTCAAACTTAAAAACAGTGAACACACATCATAATAGATTACTTTCAGTTCAGTTGAAGGAGTTTTTGAACCACTTTGAAGATGGTTTTTGGCTAGTGTGGTACTCCTGCTGCAGCAAGTCTACCTTTGAGGTCATGGAAAGCATAAGGAGAGTAGTAAGCTCCTGCTGGGAGACCAGGGAGGGTGGCGAGGGAGGTGGGGATGGGTGCCTTGTAGGGGTGGTATCTGAGCGGGGAACTAGGGCTGAGGGGTGATTGTGGTACCCCTGGTTTTGAAAGTCCGTATGAGCCTGGGATGGGTGCAGCGGCTGGGTAGTGCATGTAGTAAGCACTCAGTTGAGCGTTCAGCGATTGAGCAAAGGCGTAGGGAGACGGCGTACTTATCGACTCGTTCGACTGCATGGTGTGTGTGCGTAAATGTTGCAGCAACTCCTCACCACTGCCGAAACGTTTCCCACAACTCGTGTTGCCTGAAACCCAGTTGCAGACGTGTCCATGCTCGGTTTGGGCGGGGACCGGGGGTGGTGGGTAAAGGTAAGGCGTGGCGGCGGCGGTGGGACTGCCTGACTGGAAATATGCGGGAAAAGCACCGTGAACGGGAAGTGCGAACGGAACAGCTCCGTTCAAAGATAGTCCATCGTGTCTACACTGTGTGCAGGCTGCACCTGTTGCTGCACTTGCTGCAAGTGAGGCTGATTGGCAATGTGAACAGTACGGGTCACGGCAGATAGGCATCAATGTCGTTCCTCCATCAGCTGTTTTCACACGTGCATAGGCGGTGGCGTAAGGTGAACCGGCGGTTGCAGCTAAGAGATGTCCAGCATGATCCTTTGAAATACTTGCAGGATCTGCAATGTGGGGTAGGTGATGTCCAAGAAGCTGTGAAGGGCATCCACAATGTCCTGATGTGGGTGAAGTACTGGCGAGAGACGTGGAGGGTTTGAATCCTGTAGCTAGTGCAGGAGGGACGAGATGTGTCGGTAAGATAGGGGCAGAAGAAACCTGAGCGTGTGGCTTAGAATCGCCCCGGTGGCTCGGACTATGAGCACCACAGCCAAAGCTATGTCCAGTACTGGTATGACTTGAAACAGTTTCCGTCGTGCTCTGATTTGAACTCGGTCTCGATGACTCTGTCCTCGTTTTCGTTGGCGACGGCGGCGACGAGGTAAAGGTGGTCGCGCTGGCGATCGGCTTCGAGTCCGTGCTGGTGATCACGCTAAGAGGCGATCCCCGCGATGCTGCCTTTTCGAAGGCGGCGATTTTCGTCACATAGGCATCCCCGTCACGTTTCTCGTTCTGTTTGTAGGGCTTGAATGATGACCGGTCGAGCTCGTGGATCGTGGTTGCTGCCTTCTCAGGGGACTTCTTGCCGCCGATGTCGAGTGGAGCAGTGAGTCCAGTCTTCATCTCATTCGAGTCCCTGGGAGGGGGATCCGGCTTTCCGATGCTGCTGCATGTCTGAGCGAGCAAGGCCAATGGACTCTTCTTCGCATCCAACTACAAGTACAATAAAATAAGAAAAGAAATGAAAATAAAAACATTAATCACCTTAATCACAATGAGTGTCGATTCAAGCTCAATAAAAACATCACATGGCGGCAAATGTGATGTTTATGTCTCATTGTAAACCCATCAAAGTACCCTGTTTTTTATGGGCTTCGGAAGGAACGTGAATATGATACACGAAATAATTATGTTTATATCGCACCCTATCATACGTTACATTAGCTTCCGAAGCTCACACTATCAAATTTGACTGTTAGAATAAGAAGATTCAACATCCATGACAAATTTAATATAATGCAATCGCGTAAGTAAACAATCACATTTATCAATGTCCACTTTCTTGGAAATATTCTTCACTTAATCTGCAAAACAAGATAATAAATATATCATTCTCAGAGTTCATAACCTGATACAAAAGCATTATTTAATACAAAATAGTTTCACTTTCGATTTCAGAAGTCTTGATTTACATTATGCCTATAAAGTGCCAATGTTAAGCGTCCGCAAATTTTACACGCGGCTTGTATTAATAGAGTAGACTTGAAATTGGACGGGGAAAGATTGAAATGCAAAAAAATGATTAGCACACAGCCGACACCGGCACTTCAATTTTTCAATTTGTTCTTACAATAACAGATATATTAAGATTTAACTATCATTTAAAACACACGGTGACAAAAACAGTTAGGTGATTGACTGTGTGCAACTAGATATAGTTCAAAATTGGTTAGTATACACTGAGTGCTGCGATGAGTGTACTGCTGCACTGCACTGTGGTATATATTGCGTGAAAAATGAGCACTTGTGGCAAAAATACTAGAAGTTAGAAGCCGATGAAAATGTCATTTTGGACTGAAATTTATTAATAATTTGTTGAGGTACACAATAACCGTATCATGAAGTAACTTTGTGCATACTGCCGGTTATGAACTTCAAATTCTAAACATGTAAAATAGTGATTTCTAATCACAATGTCGGTCGCCTCTTGTACAGCATTCATTTAGGGTGATATGCGAGCTGACAAGGCCAAAGCAGCTGATTTCAAATTCGGTTAGACTTAGAGTTAAAATCTTACTAATAATACTACTATCGATATGGATGGAAATATGTACAATTTACAATAGCAAACAGATAAATTAAGAGGACATCAACATCAAAATTTCTACAAAATGTGCACTCTCAGCTCAGACGGTTTGCATGCATAGTAGATCTCACAAATATCAAGATACACGAAATCTTTACATCGCACAATTTAGCCGATAGAAGTGCCAGCTCTGTAGCGGTTGAATAAAAGGAAAATGCTCTGCAAATTCTACAGGTAAAATGTGTTTTAAATGTAAATGCTCTTGTAGTATCAGAATGTTGAATTGTACAGTGTGCAGATGCAAAAATTGTGACATTTTTCTAGAAGAATTCCAATTAGGTAACGATAAATTTTAACAAGAGAGAAATTAAAAGAGAAAATGCTCTGTGAAAATGGTGAAATTAATCCCTTACCGTTGTTGGAAGCGGGTCCATGGGCTGTAAATACTCCGTATGCATGAGGGGTTGCGTCCGTGTCGCAAGCATGTTGGTAATCGGGTATAAACCAAGAAATATTCACAAGAGGAACAGCACAATATCACAACAGATAGCAGAATATCACAAGATAGAGATCACAACACAGGCAGGAGTACGAGTCGGTAGTACACACGTCCGCTTTCTGCGAGAGCTGAGCAGTGAGTAGCGATCGAAAGCAAGAGAGATGTGCGGGCGGCGAGCCATCACTGACTGGCCCACTAGCTCAGCCCCATTGTGCGAATGGATTTGTCTACGCGAACCACACAAGCACTCCTCTAAGCGTACCGCCGCTGCAGACAACAGACAAAACCACAAATTTGCCGACAACACTTCAAGTCAAACATTGAATTTACAACGCGAGATGAAGGGACTTTACCGCTGACCAATCAGCACGGGGCGACGGCCCGTGCCTGCCTTGTGATTGGTCGCTCGGGATGTGTAGCTGTCGCAGGCCGGGGATGATTGATATGTGATCCTGTCACATGCTCCGCGCCAGCCAATCAAATTCGCGATTAGCAATTCCCGTTGGCAGGCGTCCAGTGCCGCTCGCTGTTCTGCGATCAATCAAATGCGGTGTCAGCCTTGTCAATTCCGTCTGATTTATGTCAGCGTTTTGTTGTTGATAACATGGCTCGAGTAATTTGAAAAACGGCTTTTGAAAGGGGGTATGATTCCCCGAGATAAATCGGCCCAATAATCGCAATTAATGTGTGACAACAAAGAGACCGTCGGAGTAGCTTTGAATGACAACCGCACCCTGCACGACAGCCGGATTTTTTCCCTCTTTTCGGTGATGGGGAGGAGAGGCTAACGGGGCCTGCTTTTTTTTAAAACAAGCAAGCTGTATAGCACACATTTCGCACTTTTCTTTCACAATGTGTCGGTGTGTTGTGTATTTGGGATGTGTGTGTGGCTGTGTGCTGCGCTCGTTAAAAGCCGTTTCTAAACCCCACCGCCTTGTTGTGTCTTAGCAAACGAACTCGAGCCCATGCACTCCGCCGGGCTATTGACATCGCCTTGCCATTGGAGCTCTGTGTCGGCAAGCTTCAAAGGGGAGGCATGAGTTAGAGGAGATTTTTATCTCCCTCGTCAATCAATCATTGCCTCAGCAAGCAGAGCTTTTCGAACAGGCAAGAGATTGACGGGTCGACCAACACACATGACAGGCTGCCGATTTTAACACTAGCTGACAGCTTGCTGTGGGGGAAAGGGAGGGGAGATGGGGGAAATCATATATTCCCGATGAGATATAGAAGAGAGAGTGAGGAAGGAGGAGGAGGAGGGGAAAGAGAAGGACAAACGAGCAAGGGGAAATTAGGGAGGGACTGAAAATGAACATAATGAAGCAATGTATCCGGTTGGGAGGGCATTAAAAGAAAATGAGGTTTTCTTCTCTAAACCTTTTCCTCTCTCTCTGTCTCGATTTTTGTTTGGGAGACTGATTGACTGACTGTTCAGGGGCGGCACACTCTGACGATTGGAAAATGACGCTTATGAAAACATGCTGGTTTAGGGGTAGCTGGTGATGATTGCACCAGCCCGGGTCTCTAGGGGGAGAGGGCCATTGACGGTATGCACAATAACAAGAGCAAAAGGACCTGCTTCAATAGTACACAGCCAGGAAAAAGGAGAGGGGGGAAAAGGGAAAAGAAAACTGCTTTGTAAGTTTGTGGCAAGACGAAACAGGCAAAGAAAAATATCCGAAAACAACGGCGACCTTATGCGCTTGCACTCTTGCGTCGTGTTTTTTTTTTTTTTTGACGAAGCGAGAAGTAAATTGAAAATAGTGAGCCCAGCAAAATGATTTCCCCTCACATTTTCCGCTGCTTATGCAGTAAAATAGCCAAAAATAACCCGCCCGCCCTCATAGGTTGATCAAGATTGAAGATGGGGATAATGATGAATTGCTGGCAAATTTATAACAAGAGACCGTGAGGAGAGTGAATGCACTGTGTATCTGAAATCGCAATCTGCGTAAATTTTCAGTTAGCAGACATGTCATGATGTCTGGGAGATTAGTCTTCTTGCGCAGACTCTATTCTGACGCTTAACTTGTCATAAAACAATCAAATATAGGGCCTTGTCTGGCAGTGTCAGTTGCAGGGTGTGGAGTGAAGTCTCTATAGTCTTATACAGTTCAGACTCTCGGTTTGCGCATTTCTTCTGACAAGGGATTGCGCCTGCAAAGTATAGGACGGTGTACAGGACAAAGTTGTTCAACTGGTTTGTTTCAGTTATTTTGCATGCTGTCAGTTCCATTTTTTACAGAATATTGGGCCGTTATGACTGTCTCTTGCTCTTCATATCGTTAGAAATATATGGACTGATGAACGCAGTATGCGCGTATGTGTTGGATGTGAGGAGATGGGAGAACTGATGTTTACTACAGTCCGGATACCTATCATTTTCCCCCATGCATTTCATCACTATTTCTCTCTACCAGTTTGTAGAATGTTGCCAATCAAAATAAAGACCACAGAGTAATGTCTTCGTACATGTCAACTTTCAAGAAAACAGTTATTTTCTTCCAGTAATTTCACCAACTAGGCCTATTGAAATCATAGTTTTACAGAATTAAAGCTTAGAGAGGAAAGAACTGCATGAAGGGATGAATGAAAGATTTGAGCCGGGGCAGAATATTATGTTGGATGAGATTGAGAGTCCGCGTGTCATGCTCATCTGTAATCGGCTATAGCTCTCTCTAGAATAATAGTAGTTTGTACATCTACATAAACAATCTGTATTGTTAAAGGAATAATTGAGTAACCTACTTGTCTCAGAAGTGGCCAATGCTGTTTGTACAACTCATAAATATTCCGTTGCAATATATGATATAGGCCTATTTTAACTATACAGACATAACGGTACATGGTAATAGATTTGTGGAAAAGAGATTTGAATGTAGGCTAGTAACGTGAGAGTGTAGTTCAATGTCGCCGTCATCATCCTCATATCTTGACATGTCGTTATGGGCGTGCTCGGGCCATCTCGCCTTTCAAACTCCCGATCCTCTCCCGCGATAATGAGGGCGCAATGGACTGTATAACGAGCACCCAATCGTCGCGCGGGCGACATGAAAGACAGCCAAGGCGAAAATGATCCGTGTTTTTCTCGTTCGTCGTCTGTTTCGCGAGCTCATCTCCATCTCCATCTCCCCTTCTCTTTCTCTCTCTCTCTCTGTGACTGTCTAGCTTTCTGTCTGTCTGTCTAATATGTCTCTCATCCCGCCTATGATTGACTCTCTCTCCCCCTCTCTCTCTCTTTATTTGACTCTCTCTCTCTCTCTCTCTAGCTATTTCTTTGACTGTCTGTTTGTCTGTCTGTCTCTGTGTGTCTCCCATATATGACTGAACGCCTCTCTCTCTCTCTCTCTCTCTCTCTTTCCTATCTTATTTCAACCGTCACGTCGCATTCATCATGTTGCATGCCTTGCCCATGCTTTGGCCTTCTACGTCCCTCGCATCGGTTTCCATGTGTGCCCTGATGAAGGGACCCAAGACAAGATTCGAACGTGAAAGAAATAATTAGATCTATGGCTAGCTGCAATGAATTCTGACAGCGGCCATTGCTCAAACTCTCTGTGACGTGCAGACTCACTGCGCATGCGTGGACACGAGAATTAGCACGTTCTTTATGTATCTCTTTAAATACCAAGGAAGAGACGTTTAAGATTTGAGGAAAACAGATGTCTAAATCGCGATGGCTTTATCACGTATGGCAAACGCCAAGATTATAGGTAGGGGTTGCATACTGATTTTGACTGTACAACATTATGTAGTGGTATATAGGGTGAAAAAGATTTAACGAGCTGAATGAAAACTGGTATATCATCCATATCAACACGTTCGTAAAGACAGTCAAAAAATCATGTAACCCAATTTCGAGAACCATTGAAATTGAGATGTGCCTGAATGCGAACTATACACAGACATATATATATATATATAACATAATCCCAATATGATTTTTACATTGGAGTATTGATATTGTCCTTGAATGGATTTCTCGAAAGTCTTTGATTTCTTATGCGTTTTTTCGATTATTGAACTGTTATGGTTTTAAAATTAAAAAGGGAATTGATCACAATGAATCACAGGGCTTGTCCATCCTCTTATTAACAAATATCAGCGAGAGTTGGGAAGGGGAGGGGGAGGGGGGAGGGGGCTCGCGCTTGTAACACTTATGTGATAAATCAGTTTTTTCGTTATAAAAAATTGGCCTCCAAATTCTCCAATACGTCTTATCTGGAAATTCCTGTCGTGAATTATTGTTTGGTGAAGTCATTCGTTAAGAATCGAAAGCAAATAAAAGTGGCTATTTACGCGTAAATCTGAAGGCGGAATTTGCCTTGCAATCCATCATATCACAATGAAAACTGCCCTTTCACTTTGGTTTTTTAAACATTTTGCTTTAGAGTAAGGATATATCATCGAGTGGGATGTATTGATAAGAGGTAGATACTTGTAGTTTAGAAGGGTTATTAGCCTTTATAAGTAAATATTACGAATTACGTGTGAAAAAAATGATGTTCAGAGAGAAATAGCCTAAAAAATTAGTCATTACTGTTTATCGTGTATAAAAACTGTTCCTGTATTTTGAGGGAAGATGGATGGTAAACGAGGAAGAGGAAGAACAAGACTTATATAGTATCAGGTTTGATAGGCGACATATCACATGATTCAGAGGAAGGGTAAAAATAAAGATGGAGGGAGAAGGGTTTGTGGACCTGCCTTTGACAGAACATCAGAGAGAGAGAGGGGGAGGGGGGGGGGGTAGAAAATATTCATCATCATCATACATAAATCATCGATTGTTTAATCAATGCAATTTTACATAAATGGGTTTTTCGTAAGATGTATTTATTTATCACTGTGTCAAACCTGATTTTATCGACAATATTTTCACGTAAGATAAAATTATTCATTGGGTAAATATAGCTTTGAATGCTGGTTATGCTGACGGATCAGGTCAACAATGCACAGAATTCTAAACTCAGAATTATCTTCAGGTAAAAATGGAACGAAGCAATTACTGCTGACCAAGAAGGTAACTTGTCTGATTAGTCGCTGTGATTTCAATTACTTTCATCGCTTTCTTCAGCAGCTTGCGATGTCATTTGCTTTGAAAATCTACCGATATATATATTTTAAAGATCATAATCCTCTAAACAACCATTTGTCTTTTAATCTCTTCCGCTTCGTTAAAGATTCATTAATAGTTCAATCATTCATCGAGAAGAATCAAGTAGCGATTTTCCAGGAAAAAAATTATGAACCTCCATGAACCCATGCAGGC